GATTAGTCGACTAATCGAATAAATAATCGGTGATTAATCGATTATTAAAATAATCGTTTGTGGCAGCCCTAATGCCAATCCCTTTATTGTTTCATTCAGTGCTGTTTTTTTTTTTTTTTTTTTTGAAGAGGATGTTGCAAGTCTATATATTCCCTGCGCATTCAGGTATATTTATTTACACTGGCGATGATGCAAATGTGTACTTTCCGTCTCCTTTACAAATTGATAATATGTAATATGTAAAAAATGTTAAGAAGAATCGATGTGTTATTAGAGCAAATAGAGCAAGTAAGCAAGAGCTGATAATGTRGTTTGAATGTAGAAAGATCTCTTGTAAGAGAAAAGGACGTGGCGRTAGTTAATACCCGATAGGGTTGTGCGATAAATCGATTTAATTGATTAATTCGAATTTGCCATTTATAAAGATTTAATTTTGTGAAAAAGAAGATTTTTTTTTCCCACCAGTTCACTCTTTGGGGCTTCAGTAGTTCAGAAGTCACCCCACCGGTCTCTCAAGACGCTTGGTAATGACATGACAACACAGCAGCTAGCAAAGAGGATCTACTTCTCAAAAGAGGCTGTGTTTCTTCACTTATCTGGAACTGGTTAGGTTTTGCAATCTCGGACTTAGAACAGCTCACCGCAAAATCAGTTTGAAAGGTCTTGCTACTAAAAGTAGGAGTACAACAAATTTATTTTGACACTTGAAACAGAGGCACTCCATTAAGTGGGAAGAAAAATCAATTAAAATCGAAAATCTAATTGAGATGAAAAAAAAAAATCGGAGAAATTTTTTTTTCCCGGCCATATCTCCCAGCCCTAATACCCTACAACTAAAAATACAGCAAAGTAAACTGATTCACACAATTATAGATGAACACACTTGAACCTCTGCACACTTCTACGCAATGGACACAACTATAAGAACTGTTCTTGAGACACAACGTCAAAAATGGAAATATACAGCATTATTAGAAAAAAGCAAATCGTTTCTATCATTCCTGATATCTTAAATGTTGCTCACGATATTATATTTCAATTTGAATTCAAGATTTGATGCAGTTTTCCTGCATTAGCTTCTAAACTTGATGTTTAACCAGGGAGTCAAATGTATTTATCTGAAATCTCTTGGCATTGTCAGGATATTAACTTGAACAGAATATCCTAATAAATTACACAAATTCCTATATTATAATCACAATTTAATCAAAATAAACAAGTTTTCTCGGATTATTTGCAAGTTTAACTCATCTATTATAATAGGAAGACATTTTTTGATAGCACACACTGTAGTTGTGTCTATATATTTGCTTGGTGTGCAGAGGGAAATTAACTGCTGCTGTTTTATTTCTAGTTTGTTAAATTATGTTTTTATCTGTCCATAATTACGGCGACTGATTGCAACTCTGAAACCACAAAGCTTCAAACCACCTAGGAAATGAAACAGRATCTCAAAGAAAACATGAAAGCACCGCATGTGTGTAACCAAAGAGTACAGTGTGTGAGTCGGTCAGCCTGAACAGATGCTGCTGCTCGGGCCTCAGCTTTGAAGAGTTTCCAAAACTTCACTCACTGGCTCCCTTTTACAGGATACTCCCCCCTTACAAACTTTGACGCTCGGTTTTCAGCTCATTCTGGCCACTCGAAGTTCAAAAGCTACACATAGAGGCAAGCAAAACAACAAAACATGAAAAAATATATATAAAGTCGTTGTTTTTTCTTCTACCAACCTCTTTTGCTAGTTAGCTTGCTAGCATCAGCTACATCTAGTCTGCCTGGAATCCATCGGCTCCTTCCATCCTCCCTGATTTAAGCTGGAAAGTTTGGACTTTACGCTGACAAAAATAACAAAAAAAAAAGACAACAAAAACGTCTTTCTTTCTACGCTATTTTAATCTTAATCATTTCAAAACTCAACCATTCAAGTAAAACTGAGCCTTAAAAACGCAACCGTAGTTGAAAAAAGTTAGCCTACTTCGCGAGCTAAAGTAACGCAGTGCTGCCTTCAAGGACCGTCGAAAACGAGAAATAGCCAACAACTTTTCACCATGGTAACCACTCACGTTGTATTGACTGAAAGAGCTGTGCTGTACTGTTGTAATATCTTTGCCACATATAATATTTATATTTCTTTCTGATTCCTTAGCACAGTCAYAGTTTAAGAAAACACCGAGGCATGTGGACCACTATTATCTTTAGCAGTCAGAAGAAGTTACGAGTTTCTGATTGGCTTGTGAACGCCGCATCCGTCTCTTCTGTGTGGGTGGTTTACAGGCAGCTCGGACGATACAGTACTCTATAATAAACTCTAAAATACATGATGTACATGGGTCATAAAAAAAACTTTACCTTACAAATGTGTTAAAGTTGATAAACATTCGCACCGTGTTTTTACCTCCACTAGAGGTCAGTAGAGCATTACACACGCACACTGAAAATTAATTCCTTTTTTTTGTTCCACAGACGTGTAAAAGGCGTGTTAATCGTTTGCTTCCCARTAGTCAAATTTAAAGAAACAAATAAACTAAGAGGTTGAAAAATTATAAATCAACTGTGAGCATAATTAGATATTTATGAAAACCACATTCACCATTTGACTTTTAAAAGTTGCACAAAAAGTGTGCACGAAAAGATGTGATGATGAAACAGCATATTTATACTATAGTAGCCTAATAGTAAAATTAAAAAAATATACAAATGCATAAGCATCAAAAGTAGTTCTATTRAACTTCAATTGTAACACAATTGTATAACCTTTGCTAACAAATCAGTTGTTATATCAAATCATTTTAAGTTAAATACTGTGGGCAGAATTTCATCATTTACACCTATATTTTATTTTAGCTGCAAAAAAAAAAGGGATACACAGTAAAAGATTAACTTATGTAAAGCTCTTAAATTCAGGTGAACTTAATTAACATGTTGACTCATACTTGTGTATATTTAAATCATCCCTCTAAACTTTGGATGAACATAACTAAATTTTATTTTTTAATTAAATGCAACTTCTTGTTTCTGAAAGACAACCACACATTTGGATGTGTACGTTTTATTTTCTTTTTCAGGCAGCAAATTCTTTTTTTAATTAAAGCTGTATGAAGTTCTTTTTTATTTTCATGCAGAAAGTAAACTTCTTGAAGGCAAAATTAGTGTAACATTTGTATTCAGAAAATCCTACGCCCACTTTCCAGTCCTGACAAAATGTTGTAGTATAGTTGTCAGGTTTGATAACAGCAAAGTTAGAAATTCATATCAATAATGTCATCAGTTCTAGTTTTGTGTTTTAAAATCCTTTTTGACTCGGTCTTTGTTTTCCCAGCATGCTTCCTGCACACACAGGAATGTGACCTCTGCTTGTAACCCAGCTAAAGTCAAACAAACACCAGAATTACTGTAAGCACACACTGCTGAAAGTGAACGCTCACTCAGAGCAGTGCAGCAGACAGACAGAAAAAGTGTAATCAGGTGCGTGCGTGTGTGTGTGTGTGTGTCCTTGTTTTTCCTATGTTGTTATTTCTGCTACAGAGTGAGAACCATCATATGTTTTTAACCAACAAAGTAAGGGTTAGGTGTGTACTGGAGTGGTTATGTTTAGAGTAAGGGGTCAGACACACACAGGTGTTCAGATCCAGGGGTTTGATACACTATGAGGGGACTGCGTTTGCCACTATTTATTTATTTATTTATTTATTTATTTATTTATTTATTTATTTA